TAGGCATGACATCACCCATAGACAGACAGTCATAGGTCTTTGTTACACTCCATACAGCTGACCTATAAACCCATACATGATACAACCCATGGACAGACAGACATAGTCTCTATGTTACAATCCAAACAGCTGACCTATAAGTCCATACATGATACAACCCATGGACAGACAGACATAGGCTCTACGTTACACTCCATACAGCTGACCTACATGTATAAACCCATACATGATACAACCCATGGACAGACAGACATAGGCTCTATGTTACACTGGCCTATAAACCCATACATGATACATAACCCATAGACAGAGAAAAACACTGTCTAGCTAGGTTACACTCTGTAGAACCGACCTTTCAGTCCAAACATGATACAACCCCCGCATTAAAGCCATTTTGATCTCTGTGAAGTATAACACCTATAAACCCATACATGATACAACCCATGGACAGACAGACATAGTCTCTATGTTACACTCCATACAGCTGACCTATAAGTCCATATATGATACAACCCATGGACAGACAGACATAGTCTCTATGTTACACTCCATACAGCTGACCTACATGTATAACCCCATACATGATACAACCCATGGACAGACAGACATAGTCTCTATGTTACTCTGGCCTATAAACCCATACATGATACATAACCCATAGACAGAGAAAAACACTGTCTAGCTAGGTTACACTCTGTAGAACCGACCTTTCCGTCCAAACATGATACAACCCCCGCATTAAAGCCATTTTGGTCTCTGTGAAGTATAACATATAGAGAAGGACATAGACTTTAAGATATAGTCTATACAGCTGGCCTATAGACCTATACAATGTACCTGATACAACCCATAGAAAGACAGGTATATTGTCAGCAGGACTTTTGACATATACATGACATAAGCCACAAACAGACAGTCTCTAGGTTGTTGAGCTGGCTTGTAGGCCTTGGCACTACGTTTCAACCTATAATAAACAGACACATTCTTTATACTATACTCTATACAATTGGCCCATACATTAACCCATAGACAGACAAAAGTAATTCCTAATTCATATATACTCTATACAGTTGGCCCATATACCTATATACACATACATAACCCATAGACAGACACAATTAGTGCCTAGTTTATACTATATATAGTTGGCCCATAGACCTAGATATACATTAGCACCCATAGACAGACAGAGGAAGTCTTGATTGATTGATTGATAGGTTTTACGTCCGCTTCACTACCGCGTATTTCGGTTATCCAGCAGACGAAGAACAGAAAGGAAAATGAGTAGAAGGGATAAAGTATGGAGTAAAAGAGTAGAGGAGGGGGATAGGTTAGAGAAGGGGCCGTCTATCCTATATATATTAACTGTATAAGTCTATCTGCCTAATAATTCCTTAACCTAACACTCATCGTACAGCATCACCAAGTCAGGACCGGAAGTGAGGTACTGTGCAGCCTCCAGCCACACCAGCCCCTGCCTATTCAGAGGAAGTCCCTAGTTTATACTATATATAGTTGGTCCATAGACCTATACACATAAACAGCCCATATAGACAGACAGAGAAATCATCTATATAGTTGGCCTATAGACCCAGGATAATGATACAACCAAAAGACAAGATGTATACGTTAGTCTCAATCTTATACAGCTAGTCTTTGGGACAATCCTTTACATGATATAATCCACAAAGAGTTCATTTTAATCTAAAGGAGAGCCACTGTACTCCAGCGATACTATCTTTGTCTCAACATCAAAAACTCCACTAAAGATTTAGTCAATAGTTACAGTAATCTGACCGTTTTTAAAGACATTTCTAGTGCAGTATTTAATCTTATTACGATGTTTAGGATTCATGGAGATCAAAGTATTAAAGGATCAGAATGTTTTGTGTGACTACTTGAACTGATTAACCCCTTTGAACCTAACGGCTCAAAAGCTGGAACGTTTTGTAATGTCAATATTGATGCTATATTCAGGTGAGAAAAAAATACAACTAGTGCAAACATTTCATTCATCGTAAATAAAAGTTCCATCACATTTTATAATGGCTTTCACTGATGGACTACGCTTAATAAAAAAATCCTACCACCTTAGCCAAAAGGTGAAGTTGAGTCTCAAAGGTCGAGGCCTGGAAAATTTAGTAAAAGCTTCTGTACCGTTAACTTGACACTTTAAATTTGCATACAGAGTGTAAACAGAAACTGCTCTGTCTAAAGTGACTATGCTGGGTTTCCCACACTATTGTTAATTTAATATATCCGCTATATCGTCAGGTGACATTGTAAAAAAGATTGGGTCTAATTATATATATTGTACAACACATTTACAGTAAACGGATCAAATTGCAGTCTTATTTTATGACGTCCTTTACAACAGTATTAAAATATTTTGCTTCAAAACGATTTAACAATTTTATCGAAATACATTGTGACACACACTTTAATCGATGGAATGTTATCATTTCATCTTCAAACTTATTTTCTAAATACCCTTACCTTCTTTCATGGATTCTTTATGATGATTGCAATTTTGGACATTTTTGCAAGTTAAATTGCATGCCATAAATAAAGGTATTTTGTCATTAGAAGAAAGAATCAATGAGTTATCTATCCCTGATCTGTCGATATGAGGCTACCTGCACCATGTCCAGGCCAGACAAGGGCCATACCTGATGTAATCAAACCAGTTACAAAAACCTCAAACTGACCCCATTATTATACAAACTGTTCAAAACTTCCTATACATTTACATGTACTGTACAAGCTCCTGAAATAAGAACTTGTTATTCTGGTGCACGGTGCGATATGGTTTTGTCTGCATGCACTGCGGAATGTAAGTTTACGTGTTTACAATATTTTTAACGGAGTTAATGAGGCAGCACTGCACAGCTTTAATGGAATATGTACCTGTCTAAATCTCGTTACAGGTGTACAGACAGGTGACAGGGGACCTACTGTCAATCACACATTGTGAAACACTATGTACTTTTGAAGTCAATGTTATCCTTAGCAAAGAATCGTTCCATTATGTAACATTTATAGTTGTGTCAAAAATCAAGGTCAATTAGTGCAAAACACATTTCACAACCTAGAAAAAAAATCACAGTTTCAGCTTTTTTATGGATATATATATGTTAAAATAATTGCAATGTTTCATATTTTGTATACCAGGTATATTGAATCTCTTTATTTCCAGCAATAGAGACAGAAATGTTATACAGTCAGATACTAGGAAAAGTACATGCTGTAGAAAAGAGTCGATCTGTCTCCTTAACTCATTCACCCCTGAAGACACATTCAAACTCTTCCAATTCGAAGGTTGAAATAGTTCCTTATGAAATTTCAGGGGTGATTGAGTAAATATGCAGGACAGATATTAGGACACCCTGATTAGTGGTGGCTGGAGAGTGGGACAACTTGATTTGTGGTGGCTTGATAGTGGCGCAACCAGGACAGTGATGGCAGGATAGGAGGACAACCACATTACGAGTAGTGGCAGGCTAGTGGTAGCTGGATGTGGTCGTCCCATATTTTGTCGGACAACCAGCTTTTCTTAACAAAGTCTTACTAACTGCTTTGATGCTCATTGATGGATGAGAAATGGAACATGCATTTAAATTCCAGAACAGGATTGTATATGCTATTGTTAGGTAATCCATCAAGGAATGCCATTGTGCAGAAAACACCAGTCAAAATTTTTCAACATAGGTTCTAGAATTACATGAACCTTTAACCATTAGTCTAGTGAAAAGGTATACATGTGCTGAAGTCAGAGAAAAATCAAAGAGGTTATAACTTTACATTTACGAATGGGTTTAAACAATGGTGCCTGCCATTCAATGTTACCACACTCCCTCTATACCCCAAACATGTGGGTGGGGGAGGGATCTATATACGTAACAGTGCAGTCCCCAATCTTCAACTGTTCACCTGTTATTTGATTTGACAATCCAATAGTACGATAGTGTGGTCCCACATCGTATGATTTTTGTGTTTTGTTTATAAAACAGCTCATGTTTGTTTGTTTTACCTATTACAGTCGTTACTATAGGGAAGGGAGTGTAAGTCGTTCCATTCAGTATTCATGTACGTCTGTAGCTATATAAGGTACTGTCAAACGAAAGATTGAAATGTTAAACTCCCACTAACAGTGACTCCGTACTTTTTGATGGGATCTTGCTATTTAGTGTTCCCATTACATAATGCGTCTTCATACAATATAACAACTACCTGGTAATCCATATTATGTAACAGGTATAGTTTTAAGTGTTTAACCTGCTTTTTTTGTTATGCAAATAAATAGGACTATTCTACTTCAAAAGAAAATGGTTCTGTGTTTGAATTACACTATGTAAATAATTGAATTATGTGTTTAGCCATTAGTAAATTAAGTGGAAGCTATCATATTCAAGTAAAGAGAAAACAAACTGTCTTAATTGAAAAGATTTGATTTTTTTTTTCAAAAAAATATTGATACACACATAACCTTATACAAGATATGTACATATGCTACAGAATTTTAAACATCAGTAAAATTAATGTTATTGCTAGTTAATTTGAAAATAATTGAATTCTACCAGGACATTTTCTTAACCTAATAGCCCTAAAGTTCTAAATCTGGAGCTGTGACGAAGGTGTTATTTTATAATTTTAAGTCATTGATCAACAGTGCTTTATTTCCTTTCACCATAAAATGCAGCAAAAACTCTTTAACAATGGTATAGTGGAATCGATCTCGTTAAACCGTATTTAAACAAACTCATTTTCAGGAAGTTTTATTTCAGAATCTAAATGAAACTGTAGTAATAATAACGGTTACCTTAATCCCAAAGTTTTGATATTCACAATTTGTTTCCTCAGCCGGACTAACAAGGTTCCACTGTAGCCGTTTATAATGGGACTTTCAAGATTTGGACAACTTGCTTTCTAGGTTTCATTGCTCCTCAAGAAAACTGGTAATTTTCAAATTAGATAGGTCAAACAATTAAGTTTTAGATTACCTTGTTCTCCATCAGGGTTTCCTAACCTGGGGATGCATCATGTGTAGTTAGAAATTGTCTCCCCTTGTAAGAGTGCACCTGAGACCGTTCACCTCCATTTAACTGTAGCTTCTCCTGCATCTGTAGTTGTGTAATGATGCAAAGATAAAATAGGTTGTTTCAAAAAAGTATAAGTACATATTATAGTGTACCAATTATATATAATTAGCTGAATTACATACGTGGTGATTTGTGTTTGCATCTACAGTATTTATAATACTGCAGATGCAATAATTATCCAGGAAAAGCTATTAAGGGTGGAGGCATGGACTACATGTATCACTATAACTTTACAAATTTTTATTTTCAGTTGATAAATATAATGCAAAGCACACTGTTCACACCAATTGCTTCAGATGAAATTTAAGCAAATGACCACTTCAAAAATTGAAGCTAAGCAGTACAATTATTTGCATTCAAAAAAATGGAAAGTTGAACTTGTTACGAGGCTCAAATGCTGTCAAACACACTACTTCCCACAGCCTACCAGGCCTGGTCATAGTGCAGCATAACAGTTAAAATATCATAAAAAAAATACAGAAATTTCAAAGAGAAAATAATTTTTCTTCTTCAAATTTTCGACTTTTGAAGGCACTCATCTATCATGCACCAGTATGCCTGTTGCAGCTTTACAATATACACACAAATATCCTGGGAAAGTTTGCGATGATGGAATAGTTTAACACTTTGACAATCTTACATACACACAAATCATAAGTCAAAGAAACAGTGACACACGACAGAGGAAGTTGTAAATAAACAATCTGTCTGCATTTTCTATGATTTATATACGGTATATGGTTAGTTGATTCTCCTAAATTTTTTTCAAAGCTGAAAGGGTAAATCTCCTGAGCTGTAGAGCAACTGTTTTAATGCTCATAATTCCTGTCAGTCCAAGTGTTTATTTATTCGTGCTTATTTCCTGTGAAAACAACATTTATTTAATGCTGATGATCATATATATGTCAGAACTCAGACATAACAGCTCAAGAGCAGACATGCAGAGTGGAGAAAGGGAATTAACAGGAATGGGAGAATTTTCAGTGATGGTAAATTTTATTAGGGAGGAGGAAAATTCACAGGGGAATTCTGGAGTCTATCACCTCTATCACACCATTAGCAAAAAACGCATTGATTAGAGTTCAAGCCTAATCTGCATTTGCTATGCATTTAGGGCTATATATCCTTGCTATAATTCAATTGGTTAAAATATATATATTATATTTAAGTAAATTATTTGTAGTAGAACTTGACTGGGTGACCAGGTAGCCCAATTGGTAGTGCACCGTGTAGAGTTTGGAGGGTCCTGGATTCAAATCCTGGTCAGTCTGTGTATTTTTTTTTGCTCCTGTTAGTGATGCTGTGGGTTGTTAATAGTGTCATCTTGGGGGGTGAAATCTTCGATAAATGAGGGCGGAATGTAGCGAAACTGCACTGGGTCATTCACTGGCAATCAGGTAGCTCAATTATTAGTGTCTGTAGGGTCCCAGATTTGTATCCTGGTCCGACCATGCATTCTTTCGGCCATGCATTCTTTCGTTTCTGGTACATATTTATCAAACTGNACCCTCCATGGCGTAACATCGACGCAACTGCGTCGCACACTTACCCACATCGACGTATGTCTGTCCAATGTGCATCCAAGTGCATCGCAACTCTGACACTCATCATCGCACCATCAACGCAGCTATTGCCGCACACCGACCGACACTGGCCCATTTTGACCGAATACTGACGTAACTCTGACCGATATGAATCGTAGATGTGCCATTTGTGTTCGAAAATGTTCGGAAATGCTCGAACAGTTTTGCGACAGCCCAAAATTTACTGACCGACCCTGATTGACACTGACGCAACGCAAGTGAAATGGGGTCATAAGATTGGTTATCTCCAATGTTGTTCTTGACACGAACATCCCTATGTCTGCAGTAGTTTATGTCAGTATTCTAAACAAGTGAAGAACATTTTAACCTTGAACCCCATGTCTAATGATGGCTTTAGGACAAGAGTTCTTCTTATGAACGCAATATGATGTACAAGGACGTAAGAAGAAAGTTATTATCTAACCTCTTATTGTGGCCTTGACCTTGAAAGTAGGGTCCTTAAAAAGATACAACACATACTTTTAAGTTATTTCAAACTTATTTACTAATAAGATACAATGACGGTTGTCCATTGTCCAGATTCAAATGCAGAATGAAAGCCCTACTGTGTAAGTCAGGAATTGCATGCTGCACATTTTCTAAATAAATGTATATCATTGCATGTTCCAACTAATATGACATGATGCTGTATACTGTATTTCAGATACGTAGATATTATGGAAAAGCTCTTTTGATTGGAGAGATGTCTGGCAACCCCAGTCTCCTGATAGCATCGGAGGAAAATATAATATTGAAAAGAAATTCTGATGGTATGTTTTTTAACTGGTTCACTGATCTCTGCTAATATCATAAATAGAGTATCATATATCTGGTCATTTGGTCAAGGGCAGTGTTTCCTCTGTCCTGGCGGCCTTCTGACAAACCCTGAACTCTAGGTACACAAGGTAAGAATCTTCAATGATGAAATGATCCTGTGAAGGGCTATAATCCACTACACTTGATAGTCTACCTGTCCAGTGTCAATAAAACTCCATAGATCTTAGGGAGTCGGATAGGACCGACAGTGTTGGGGAGGGATCAGAGATCAGAGGAACTGATAACTAGTGTTACTACCATTACCCCTGTGTCAACAATGGACAATGGTGACAGACTACACCATAATCTCCTGTTACCTGTAGCCTTACAGGGGAGGTCACTCTTTATGGGTACTTAATGTACACATGTCAATTCTTGATATGGCACCATTAATAATGAAGGCATTTTTTTGTCCGTTGCTATTTTTGCAGAAAAAATACTAACGCAGGTTATCTATTACATTTTAAACGATGACATCATGTCACATCAACTTTGACCTCAAATTGAATTTATCACAAACATTGCATGACAGAGCGGTCTCATCTTTATAAATAGTGTATGAAATAGCAGCGGAGAAGGAGAGATATAGACAACACTTGATCACTAGTATTAAGAAGACATCAATAATGAAGATAGCAGGAATTCTCCCCATACAAACAGGGCAACTTAGCAGGAACTCTCCCCATACAAACAGGGCAAAGCAGGAATTCTCCCCATACAAACAGGGCAAAGCAGGAATTCTCCCCATACAAACAGGTCAAAGCAGGAAATCTCCCCATACAAACAGGGCAAAGCAGAGACTCTCCCCATACAAACAGGGCAAAGCAGAGACTCTCCCCATACAAACAGGGCAAAGCAGGAATTCTCCCCATACAAACAGGTCAAAGCAGGACCTCTCCCCATACAAACAGGGCAAAGCAGGAATTCTCCCCATACAAACAGGTCAAAGCAGGACCTCTCCCCATACAAACAGGGCAAAGCAGGAATTCTCCCCATACAAACAGGTCAAAGCAGGACCTCTCCCCATACAAACAGGGCAAAGCAGGAATTCTCCCCATTCAAACAGGTCAAAGCAGGAACTCTCCCCATACAAACAGGTCAAAGCAGGAAATCTCCCCATACAAACAGGGCAAAGCAGGAATTCTCCCCATACAAACAGGTCAAAGCAGGAACTCTCCCCATACAAACAGGGCAAAGCAGGAACTCTTCTCATACAAACAGGGCAAAGCAGGAACTCTCCCAATACAAACAGGGCAAAGCAGGAACTCTCCCAATACAAACAGGGCAAAGCAGAGACTCTCCCCATACAAACAGGGCAAATCAGGAACTCTCCCAATACAAACAGGGAAAAGCAGGAACTCTCCCTATACAAACAGGAAGAATGAACTCTCCCCATACAAACAGGGTAAATCAGGAACTCTCCCCACACAAACAGGGCAAAGCAGGAACTCTCCTCCTACAAACAGGGCAAAGCAGGAACTCTCCTAATACAAACAGGGCAAAGCAGAGACTCCCCCCATTCAAACAGGGCAAATCAGGAACTCTCCCAATACAAACAGGGAAAAGCAGGAACTCTCCCAATACAAAAAGGGCAAAGCAGAGACTCTCCCCATACAAACAGGACAAATAAGGAACTCTCCCCATACAAACAGGAAGCATGAACTCAACCCATACAAACAGGGCAACTAGCAGGAACTCTCCCCATACAAACAAGGCAAAGCAGGAAGTCTCCCCATACAAACAGGGCAAAGCAGAAACTCTTCTCATACAAACAGGGCAAAGCAGGAGCTCTCCCAATACAAACAGGGCAAAGCAGCAACTCTCCCAATACAAACAGGGCAAATCAGGAACTATCCCCATACAAACAGGGCAAATCAGAAACGTTCCCCATACAAACAGGGCAAATAAAGAACTCTCTCCATACAAACAGGGCAACTTAGCAGGAACTCTCCCAATACAAACAGGGAAAAGCAGGAACTCTCCCAATACAAACAGGGCAACGCAGGAACTCTCCCCATACAAACAGTTCAACTTAGCAGGAACTCTCCCCATACAAAAAGGGCAAATCAGGAACTCTCCCCATACAAACAGGGCAGAGCAGGAACTCTCCTCATACAAACAGGGCAAATCAGGAACTCTCCACATACAAACAGGGCAAAGCAGGAACCCTCCCCATACAAACAGAGCAACTTAGCAGGAACTCCCCCATACAAACAGGGCAAAGCAGGAGCTCTCCCCATACAAACAGGGCAACTTGGCAGGAACTCTCCCCATACAAACAGGAAGCAGGAACTCTCCCCATACAAACCGGGCAAAGCAGGAACTCTTCTCATACAAACAGGGAAAAGCAGGAACTCTCCCTATACAAACAGGTCAACTTAGCAGAAACTCTCCCCATACAAACAGGGCAACTAAGCAAGAACTCTCCCAATACAAACAGGGCAACGCAGGAACTCTCCCCATACAAACAGGTCAACTTAGCAGAACTCTCCCCATACAAACAGGGCAAGTCAGGAACTCTCCCCATACAAACAGGACAAATAAGGAACTCTCCCCATACAAACAGGACGCATGACCTCAACCCATCCAAACAGGGCAACTTAGCAGGAACTCTCCCCATCC